CAGAACGACCTCGTTCTGAGCGGTGTGGACCACGATGGCTCCAGGCCGTTCGGACCGTTGGGCCACCGTACCCGACAGAGCGGTGGCTCCAGGCAATTGGGCCCATTGACGCGGTTAAGGCGCCCCAGAGCAATTTGACTTGAGCAGATCCATTCTCCAGCTGAATATAATTGATACCTTACTGGGACCTGCTTCGAAACTAAGTAGAAGAGAGCAGATCCCATACACAACTGATTCCAAGTGGATTCCGATTGGGCTCTAGTACGAATCTGATTGACATGGAGCAGGTCCCAGGCCCAGCTGATTCAAATTGCATCCTTATTCTAAGTTATTTGGAACTGGGCAGATCCCAGACCCAGCTGATGCCAATTTGATTCCCATTGGGATATCATCAGAATCGAATTGGAACGGAGCAGATCTCAGATCCAGCTGATTCGAATTGGATTCCGATTGGGATCAATTTAGAAGCTAATCGGAATGGAGCACATCCCATATCCAGTTGATTTGAAGTATAGCGCCTGTGGAATTCACTTTGAATATACTTGGAATCCAGCAGATCACAGATCCAGCTAATTCAATTTGAAATCCTATGAGGGTCTAATCATAATCGAATTCGAATGGAACTGTCCCATATCCAGCTGATTACAATTGGATTCCGATTGGGACCTACTTAGGAAGCACTTGGAATGAAGCTTATCCCAGATCCAGTTGATTCCAAGTCTATCAGAATTGGACTCCAATTCGAGTTCAATTGGAATTCAGCGGATCACAGATCCAGCTGATTACAATTTCATTTCGATTTCAATCTAAGTCGAGTCTGACTGGACTTGAGCGGATCCCGAATCCAGCTGATTCTTGTTGGATTCCGATTGGAATCGAATGTGAATTGTGTTAGACCGGAGCATATACCAATCCAGCTGATCCTAGTTGGAACCCGGAATGAGAACACAGCGGAACCATGACGACTAGGAAAGATGGATGAGCAGGCACGGATGAAATGAAGGGAATGATCAGTAAGAGCACATATGAAAAGATTACGCACCGATGCAATATGAGTGGGTGTTTTGTTGGGAGGGATTGCGCACCTATGCATGTATGTATGCATGTATGTATGCATGCAAGAGTTATGAATGTATGTGTTAATGCATGTGTGTCTGTCTGTCTGTCTGTCTGTCTGTCTGTCTGTCTGTCTGTATGCATGCATGCATGCATGCATGTTTGTATGTATGCATGTATGTATGTATGCATGCATGAGTGTATGTATGTACGTTTATGTAGGTAGGTAGGTCAGTAGGTAGGTAGATAAGTACGTATGCATGCATGCATGGATGGGTGGATGGATGGGTGGATGGATTGATGGACGGATGCAGGTATGCATGTACTCATGTGTCCTTCTAGATGTAGTTGTGTAGCTCCGCATACGCGTATTTCACATTCCGTGCTGGGCTTCAGCGTCTGGTGGTCCCCCGTCGCGGCCCGATGGAAGCAGCAGGGCGACCTGACGGAGACGAGAGAGCGCCACGACGGCGGCAAGGCGCGCGTGCGCACGCTGTCGCAGAAAGGCAGATTCGGAGGGCGTGTGGAGAAGGCGGGTCGCCCAGCATGTGCCGGCAAGCGCACACATGCATCGTCGGGAGCCTTGAGACGGGGGTCAGCCAGAACGTCGAATCTTGCAGGATCCTGCAAAGCCAGGGTTGCATTGACCCACGCTAGCGCGCCCGTATCTTGCAGGATCCCGCAGGATCTTGCAGGCTGCTGCAAAGCCTGGTCAGCCCAGATTTGCATTGACCCGGGTCAGTGCGTCCCCGACAGTGACCCGTTGTTCTTTCGGAAAGTGCGTCAACGATTACAGCAGTGTCCGTGCGTATACAGCAAGTTCGACGTGAAGCTTTAACAGCGCCTTTGGTATGACAGCACGGTTGTCGCGTGTCCTCCGACTCTGAACGTATTGATATATCGACGACGATTACGGCGAATCGCAGCCGCCTCCTGCCTTTTAGGATACGCTGATGTGGCCAAACGTTTGTGGAAAGTTTGGCCACGCTATTGGGAGCTTCTTGGGTCATTCTTGGGGTCTCCTGGGAGCTTCCTGTGGGTCTCTTGCAGACCATTCGGGGGCCTTATTTTTAGAAATCTGTGGCCGAATTACAATGTTCCTGGCACGTCTGACGCCGTCAGCGCTGGCTTGGGAGCCACTTTGGGCTGCCTTGGGGCCCTCTTGGAGCGCTTCAGGTTCGTCTTGAAAGCTATCTTGGGCGTGTAGGAGGCCTCTTGGGTCGTCTTGGAGCCCTTTTTATGGCCGTCTTGGGAGCTTGTTGGGCCGTCCTAGGGCCATCTTGGAGGCCTTGGGCGATCTCAGGCCAATCTTGGGTTGCTCTTGGGCCGTCTTTGGCCGTCGAAAGGCAGTTTTAAAGCAACTACCACAATTCTCCAAAACCTACGGAAAATCAATGCATCTGCAATCTTCAGGCCTTCCTGGAGTTCCTCTTGGACGCCTCTTGGGCCGCCTTTGGGGCATCTTTGGCGCTTCTGGAGCCGTCTTGGGCTCTCTTGGACAATCTAGACGGTCTTGGAGGCATCTTGGGATCGTCTTGGAGACTGTCCCGGGACTATCTTGGGCGCTCTTGGGGCCATCTTGCCCGTCTTGCAGGCAGCTTGGAGGCCATCTTGGGCCATCTTGGGCCGTCTTGGCCGTCTCGAAGGCGATTTGGGCTACGAGGGGTGGATTTTGGGGAGCTTTCCGGGAGGCCGGCGGGCGGGCTGGGCCGAAGCCCCAGGAGGAGTTCTTTAGAAGAGAACCAACACCCACCAGACATCCAGCGCGCAATCAAGAGGGGGCGGCGGATCGAAGACGCCTACGTAGGCTGGTTTACGGCGAATCACAGCTGCCCCCTGCTTTAGGAATCGCCCATGTGGCCGAGGGTTGTGGCAAGGGCTCTGCCAAGCTATCGGACCATGTGTTCCCCCAACCCGTTGGGGAACACTTGGGGGAGGATGGCGGGGAAGATCCGCAGGAGGAGGATGAGGAGGAGGAGGAGGAGGAGGAGGAGGAGGAGGAGTAGGAGGAGGGGGCATCTTGGGAGCCTCTGGGTGCACTCTTTGGGCCTCCTGGGAGCTTACTGGAAGCCTCTTGGGGGCCTCCTTGGGCTTCCTTGGGCCTCTTTGGGGCCTTTGGGGGCCTCTCGGGAGCCTTCTTTGCCGTCTTAGGACATTCCTGGCCCGTCTGACGCCGTCTCGGGGGCCTCTCTGGGCTGACTTGGGGCCCTCTTGGGGTGCTCCAGGGCCGTCTTGGAGGCCATCTTGGGCGTCTTGGAAGCCTCTTGGGCCGTCTTGGGGCCTTCTGGGGGCCGTCTTGGGGGCTCTTGGTCTGTTCTGGGGCCATCTTGGATGCTTCTTGGGCGACCTTGAGGCGATTGAGCCGTCTCGGACCGTCGGAAGGCCGAAAGGAAGCAAATGCCACAATCGTTCAAAAACTATGGAACATCAATGAGTTTGGTCTCTTCGGGCCTCCTGGAAGCCCTCTTGAAGGCCTCTTGGGCCGTCTTCGAGGCCTCTTGGGTGCCTCTTGTGCCGTCTGGGGCCATCTTCGAGCCATTTTGGGCCGTCTTGGTGGCCTCCTGGCCCGTGTGAAGCCGTCGGAGACCGTCTGGGGGGCCTCTCTGGGCCGACTTGGGGTCGCCTTGGGGTGCTCCAGGGCCGTCTCGGAGGCCATCTTCGGAATCTTGGAGGCCTCTGGGGCCATCTTGGAACCTTTTCGGGGGCGTCTTGGAGGCCTCTTGGGCCGTTCTGGGGCCATCTTGGAAGCCTCTCGGCGATCTTGGGGCGATCTTGTTGAGCTCTTGGGCCGTCTCGGGCCGTCGGAAGCCCTGCAAGAAGCAAATACCAACCTCCTTCAAAAACCACAGGACAATCAATGATTTTGGCCTCTTCGGTCGGGCTGTGATGGAGGACCTCTTGGAGGCCGTTTGGGCTGTCTTGGAGGCCTCTTGGGGGCCTCTTGGGCCCTCGTAGGCCTTCTTGAAGCCATCTTGGGCCGTCTTGGGTGCATCTGGAGGCCATCATGTGCTCTCTTGACGCCATCTTGGCCGTCTTGGAGGCATCTTAGAGGCCATCGTGGGCCATCTCGGCCGTCTAAGAGGCATCTTGGAATACATTGTGGGTTATCTTGGGCGAGAAAGGCATTTACATGTACATTTTCCGGGTGGCTTGCGCGCTGGGCCGAAGCCCCAATGGGGATTTCTAGAAGAACCACGAACCTTTTGAACATTGGCACGACAGGCACCCGTGTGGCAAGCCAACAGGGGGCGGCGGATCGAAGACGTTTTCGCATGCATATACATACATGCATGCATGCATACATACATACATACCTACGTGCATACATCCATACACACTTACATACATACATACATATACACATAAACATACTTTCATCCATGCATACACACATATCTACATACGTACATACATACATACATACATACATACATACATACAAACATACAGACAGACATACATACATACATACATACATATATGCATACACACATGCATACATGCAGACATACACACATACAGACACACCTATACATACATACATCCATCCGTCCATACATACATACATACATACACACAGCCATACATACATACATACATACATACAGACGCACCCATACAGATCTGCATAGATACAGACATCCATACATACATACATATACACAGTCATTCATACAGACATACAGACAGACAAGCATGCATGCATACATACATACATACATACACACGCATACCCACCTACCTACCTACCTACCTACCTACCTACCTACATACCTACATACATACATACATACACACATACACACATACACACATACACACATACATACATACATACATACATACATACATACATACATACATACATACATACATACATACATATATACACACATACACATACATACATACATACATACATACATGCATACATATATACATGCATGCATGCATACATGCATACATGCATACATGCATACATGCATACATACATATATACATACATACATTCACACATACATACACATACACACATATATTTACACACATACATACATACATACATGCATGCATACATACATACATACATACACACGTACGTACGTACGTACGTACATACATACACATATCCATGCACGTATGTATACAATCAAACATACAAGCGCACGTAAAGGTATAGTAGTGTATCCAATGGGCTACGGCACATCTCGCCACCGTGCGTAGGTTGTAGGTCAGAAGCCGCTTGGATGCTTACGGGAATCTCGTGGGGGGCCTCCCGGAAGCCTCTTGGTGGCGGTCTGGGAGGTCCTGGGGCTTCTCGACGCTTCTTGGCGGGTTCCTGGGCCTGTTGGGCGCTTCTAGGGGGTTCCTTGGAGGCCTGCTGGCGATCGCGGAGGTCATCTTGGGGCGGAGAGCGCAGAATGTAGAATGTCGCTTCGAGCTCCTCCACTTAGGGGTCCTCTTGGGTCCCTTTTGGGGCCTCCTGGTTCATCTTAAGCCCCTGTCGGGCCGTGTGGGGGCCCTCTTGGGACGTCTTGGGGCGATCTTTCCATTTTGGGGCGTTGGAAGCCCGAAGAGGCGGGAACGCTAAAGCCTTTCAACCATCAACGGGGAATCTATGATTTTAGCCTCTCAGGGCCCTTTCGGAGGGCTCTCTTGGAGCCCTTTTGGGGCCTCTTGGGGGCTCTTGGGTTGTCTGGAGGGCATCACGGGCAGTCTTGGGGCCGTCTCGGGGCGCTCTTGGACCCTCTTGGGCGCTTGAAGGCAACCCTGTGGGTCCTCCAAGCCGTCTTGGGCCGGGTCACCGTCCAGGAGTCCCACGCGAAACACCCCAGCAGCGCTTGGCAGCGCCCAAGAAGCTGTGAGCCTGGCGAAACTCCATTTCGTTCCAAAGGAAAGGTGGCGGATTGTTTATAAGTATCAGAATCGTTTGTCAGGGGCAACGTATCTTTGGGCTGACGAGCGTTATCCAAATACCAAGGAAGGACCAGCAGTGTGACCGATGCTTTCTCTTACAGCGCTCCTGCTGGCAGCTGGTAGCCACACAAGTTTCTCATCGCTCCAGCGCCGCGATCGAAAGTCAGCGCCGCTGAAGTCCTTCTTCGTGTTGGCTCAAGCAGGATCGATCAGCGGTTCCGTGACGAATATTTGTCCCCCCTAGTGGCAGGCCGTCCAGAGGCCAGAATGAAGCATGGGCCCCGATAGAAACCCTGAGTGGTGTGGTGGGGCACAGACCGATCCAGGCTCATCACATTCAATACCCTGAATTGGAGACATGTTTGGGCTCGGAAGGAGCTCGCTGTTGCTTAGGTCTTAGGTCCTTCCAGTTGGTTCTCCATCGCCCGTCGTGCACCCAGGCGCCTGCGGGGCCAAGCAGAGGCCTCGCTCCTTGTGCGTTCGGTCTGGTAGCTGGCAGCAGCTTGACTGCGGTATATAGTCTACCACAGTCTATCGTGTTTTGCGTTCGGCTCCCTCACTCTAAGAATGAGGGGAGCCGAACCTGGCCCCCCGACGTCGTGATTTGTTTTTTAACCATGGACCCTCAGAGTTCTAGACCCCGGGCCACTTTTCCACCTCTTCTAATCCGAGTCGGCTGCTGACGGCCCCGCGGCACGGGGACGGGCACCTGGAGGCAGAAACGCGGCCGATGCGAGCATGCCTGGGGCATCACCTCGACTGCACTACAGATCATCAGCGAGCGCGGGGGGGAAGATAGAAGGAACTGGCTTGCTCAGAAGGCGGCGGGGCTTCTTAGATTCAGTCGCGTTTTCTGAGAAGTTGTCTGCGTTTTCGGGGGAGGCTCAGACAGCTTCTCAGAAGGCCCGAGCCGTTCGAGGCTTCTGAGAAGGCCCGCCCCTTCTCACTTCTTCCCCTAGGCTCGACACCGAATAGAGCGAGGGAGTGGAACGATCTAGACCCGCGAGGGCCCCCGGATTTAGGAAAAGGACAAGAATCGTTCGTCTTGACTCTGCTCACGACGCGAACATGCCTGTGGCAGTGGCTCGACTGCGCCACGGAGCGAGGGGGCCGAGCGGTCCTGCACCGCCCTTGGGTCCATGGCCGCAGCGGCCGCGCCCCCCCGTCTTTGGCCAGCCTCTTCTCTTCCTCTTGCCCAGTGTGCCCTGGCCCGGCCTCTTCCTGCGCGCCCCTCTCTCTCCTCCGCGGCCGCTCTCTGCTCTCCCCCCCCTCCGCTCGCCTCGCGCCCAGCGCGCCCAGCGCGCCCCGCCGGCCTTCGACCGCGCTGGTGCTCGCCCTCGCCGCCGACCGGAGCAGCCGTTTGCCAGCGGCGACTTGGGTCCAAGACGCGGCGGATCGAGCAGTGGCGAAGCGTCCTGGCGCGCCCACAGACCCAGCAAATAATGTTGTAAGAACCTCGTGTGGTTTGCACGAGATGTTCCTAAAACATTCCTGACTGAGTCTGTCTTGCTTCAGCACATCGGGCTTATGTTCTAAGAACATTGTTTTTGTTCTTAGAACATTCGTGGGTCCTAAGAACACTTCGTGGCAGGCCTGTAGCAGTGCCTGCTCGAGTGAAGGCGACGGCGGGACGCATCCGTGGCAGCATTGAGGCACGGGGGGGCCGGCGAGGCCAGAGGGGCCCCGACCCCCGACGTCGTCTTCTCTCCGCGACGTCGTGCTTGGACGCTCGAGGCCCGGCAGGGGCCCCATGGGGCCGAGATTGGAGGAGAATGGGGGCCCAAAGAATATACACCACCACCACGTCGATTCCTCCTCTCTCCTCTTTCCAGCGAGAGGGAGGGGGGGAGGGAGATGGTGGTGGTGTATACTTTTGGGCTCCCTAGAGAACCCTCCCGTCGTGTTTTTTCCATGGCTCGAGGAGGTCGGGGGGGGGGGGAGAAGAGCGCCGCGGGCGGCGGCGCAGGCTCGCGCCGTGCAGACCTCGAGCGCGAGTGCCAGAGGACATGGCTTTCCAGCGGCCGGCCGGGGAGTGGCGAAGAGGCACACCGACCAGGGACCCAGACCCCCGACGTCGCGCTGTGTCCACAGCGTCGACACCCAGAGGCCTCGACCCCCTTCCCCGGATACCCGCTTCTCATCCCGAGCCGTTTTTTATGGTCCAGAGGCCCAGGGGGCCGAAATGAGAGAAGAATCCTCCCATCGTGATCTTTGTTTCATGACTCGAGGAGGTCTGGTGTTAAGTCGGGCATGTCCCTCTACAGGAGGAGTATTCAAAAATAGTTAAAGATAGTCTGGGGACTATGTTTAAAGGTTTTGTTTTGGCTATTTTCGGGTATGCTTGGAATTTGTTCAATTTGTCCATCCAAATCCGCCTGTAGGGGGACATGCCCCACCTCATCCCATCGTGATCTCTGCTTCATGACTCGAGGAGGTCTGGGCACGCACCGCGGTGCGTGGCCACAGCGGGGGTCGCCCGCGCTGCGGCTCCCCCCGGCAGGCCGCCCGGCGGAGGGGCCAAGCGGCTACGTCGCGGCGCTGCGGTCTCTTGGCGGCCGCGGCGGCCCTGGCGCGGCAGGCAGCCGCGGCCGCGGCCGCGGCGACGACGTCCTCGACGACATCGTCGACGGTGACGACGACGTCGACGTCGACAACGACAACGACGTCGACGACGTCGACGATGTTGCCAACGACAACGACAACGACAATGACGACAGCAACACTAACACAACAACAACAACAACAACAACAACAACAACAACAACAACAACAACAACAACACCAACACCAACAACAACAACATCAGCAACAAACACAACAATAATAACAGCACCAGCAACAACAGCAGCAATATCAACATCAACATCAACATCAACATCAACATCAACAACACCACCAACAACAGCAACAACAACACGAGGACGACGGCGACGACGGCGACGACGGCGACGACGACGAAGGCGTTGTGACACGGTGTTGTGACACGGTGTTGTGACCAAACCGTGTGGTGAGTCAGTAGGTCGCCGAGCGAGTTCCATTTCTCGCAAAGTGCCTACTCGCACACGTCCGAACAAAAACATGCCTTTCTCTGCGTAATAGATCGTAAATCCCCCGCGGCGGATCCAGGCAATTTGCGAGCAGTTGATTTGCGAGTAGTGGAACGCGCCCGTCCAGGAGGGATCGGGTCACCGCACGGTTTGGGGACTCGGGTCGTTCTGCGAGGCAGTCCTGGGCGGCGGCGGCCTCCGAGGTCCCAGGACCATGCGGCAACGGACCGCACGGTGAGGCCGTGGGGGTTCCGAGGTGACCACACGGCTCGTCACCACACGGCACTGGAGCCCCAGGCAGATCTCGCACGATGCGTTTTTTGTCGATCTGGGTGCCTTTTCCCAGAGTCCAGCCCTCTCGGGGCCCGTTATCGGGCCTCGGGGCCATCGAAACCGGATCCGGGAGGAAGAAGTGGCCCTGGGGGGAAAGGGTCTCAGGCCTCCCAGATGGTGTCAGAGTAGATGGCGTCGGAGGATCGCACCACATCGCCGATGCATCGGCGATGCGGCTCGATGAGGAGCCCGACTTCCCGCATGCCGGCGTCGCCGATGCACTGCCGACGTCGCCGATGCATCGCCGATGCATCGCCGATGCATTGGCGAAGCATCTGCGATGCGCCGCGATCTTCCGACCCCATCTGTTCGGACCCCATCTACGAAGCCTCTAACTCGGGAACTCCGCGCATGGACAGAAGCACATCGTCGGATGTCTGGGGCGGGCTTGGTGCCCCCGCCGCCGGTCGCCGCGGCTGCCACCGCCGTCGTGGATGCCGCCGCCTCGCGACCCGTGCAGAGGCGGGGGCGGGACGTCGATCGACGCCAGAGGTAGTTCTGCTTCGATCGACGCCCAGTGCGCGGCTGTCCTGCGTGTCCTCCGTCCGTTTCGTGGCGCTGGCTGTGTCGATGGGCCCCCTCGAGGGTCAGCGGATTCCGTCTGGTTCCCCGAGTGTGCAGGACATTCCGAGGGGAGTCCAGGCACCAAGCAGCCGTCCGTCGGCCCTTGCTCGAGGCGCGTTGCCGACCATGTCGTACACGAGTTCGGAACTGACCTTCTTGTGCTTCCAGGGCCAATCGCCCATCGCTCGTCGGAGTGTGGCCGCCCGCCGCCCGCCCAGCCCGCCTGCGCGCCCGCGCGCGGGCGGGGGCGATGAGTCGGTCGGGGTCAGAAGTGGGTCTTCCTCGATCCGGCATGCCCCCCCTCGCCCTCCTGTCGTCCTCGCGTCGTGCTCGCAGAGTCCTGCGCACGCTCGGCTCCAGGCCGTGGAGCTTCTGCCACTGATCGCCTCTGCTGATTATGTTGGTGCGAGCTGATGCTCTGCCAGATGCGTGTGTCGCCCTCGGCTGGCAGGAGGCCTCAGCGGCCTCGCAAAACCCGGTCCCAAGATCCCCCGGTCGCGCCTTTGCTGCAGGGCTGGACGCAGTCCGGAGAGCGGGCCGTGCATGGGGTCCCCTGGGGGGGTTCGATGGGCCAGGTTTGATTGGGTTACAGTCGGGCGCAAGGCGACGGGGTGCAGCCTTCTAAGCAGGCGTTTCGCCTTTTGCAAGCCCTCCCGCCGTCCAATGGGGAGGCTTCTATGAAAGCGGGCGGCCCTTTCAGATCAAGGCCCCGGCATTCTTGGAAGGCTGCCCCCCCTCGCCTTGCCTCTTTCGTCACTCCCAGAAAGGATGTGTGGCACGGGAGCGTCATCTCTCTTGGCGCCCGCAGCTCATTTCAGCGATTCCCGTCGGGCTCCCCGAGGGCACCCTGCAGCAGTCCCGAGAAGAGTCTGGCAGCCGAGCAGCAGCGTGTGCTGGCTTCGCTCGTTCTTGCTCCTCGCGGCTCGTGCCAGCGGTCTCCGACGAGCGAACCAGCGGCGCGGCGCGGAAGCTCGAGTACCGGCGGAGAGAGCTTCGTCGCATCTCTTGGGCCACCCTGCAAAGCGGCCAGGGCCTTGGTCTTTGACCTGGCGGGCCGAGGGGCCGCCTGTCGGGGGCGGGCACTGGCAGCCCTCCCCTCCCCGAGGCAGCGGCCACAGCCGCGCCAGTGCCGCCACGCACCCAGCGTCTCTTTGATCGGGCGATTGCGATTCTGCATGTCGATCTGCCGTCGGAGCCAGCGGGGAGCCCGCGTGGAGCCCGCGCCCCCTCCGCCGCCGCCCTCTCCTGCAACCGATGGAGCTCGCCAGTTGAGGGCGTGGCGTCCGCTGGAGATCCGCTCCATGAGCTGGAGCGCGCCCCCTGTGGGGCGCGGGCGGCGGGCGCAGCCCGTGCGCCGTGGCGGGCCTGCCGCTCGCAGTCGGGCAGCCAGTGCTGTGTGCACGGGATGATTCGCAGCCCGCTCGGGTCCGCTCGTCACGCACCTCCCGCCCAGGAGCCGATGGCCCCACGACGGCGACGCTGGCAACGGCCCGGCCTCGCTTGCGCTGCGCAGGGCGACTGGGCGGGGCGGCGGCAGGTCAGGAGGGGCGCGCACGCGGGAGTGCGCGTGCGGGCGCGGCCGGGCGGGACCTTTCGTTGGCCTGCTGCCGCTCGCTCGCTCGCTGACCTGGCAGGACAGCGAGCCGACGCCAGGGGAAGGCGATGCTGGTCCTCCCAGATCGGGCAGGGAAGCTGAGTGTGGATCCTCCTCGTCGTCGTCGTCGGTCGTCGCCTCCTTCCCCGTTAGTCTCTCCGGTCGCCGCCGAGCGCCCACGGGGCTCCCGTGTCACTTACACGTTGTTCATCTCTAAGACTTCGAAAGTTCTTGATTTTTTGGGGGGCCAAGATCCTTTCATTTCTAACTGTTGTATCCTGGGCCTCTTCCTGGCCACTAGGGGGCCAGGAACAAGTAGGAACGAGCACAAGTAGAAATGAGCAAGATTAGAAATTAACGGCGTGTAGGTCTCACCCAGCCCCCCCAACCTCCCACGATCCAGAACCGATGTTCAGATCTGTGGCACAGTTCGGGCCTCTGAGCACTGCCCGACGGTTGTGGCATCCATGTGTGCCTGCGGACTCTAGCTGTCATGCCCTCCACATGCGCGGGCCACCGATCCGAGAGGGCCATGGTTCGCGGGTCGCATCAGCTCGCGCGAGTCAGACATGCGCTCTGTTCTGAGAAGATGAGGATGTGCAGCCGTGTCTTGTTCGGTGCTTTCGCCGCTCAGGTGCCTGGTGGCCGATGGGCGTGCAGTTTAGACGCTCAGGAGGAGCTCTGTTTCTCCGGCCGTTTCTTGCATCCAGGTTGGGGAACCTCTTCGTGGCCGAGGCTCGCCGTGGCCAGAAACGACCTTGTGGTTTCTTTTTGCAGTTGTCCGTATGGCAGCACGATGACCGTACTGGCGACTCTTTCTCGGAGGCCTTTGTTTTGATTTCTGCAGCCGTCGGATGGGATCTCGTGCAGGCCTTGACGCCAATTTTCTGCGCACGTGTGCCACGAATCCGGTGCGCGTGTGTTTGCAATCATGAGCTGCCGACGCGTCCCGCCGTTAGCCCCACCGCTTGGTGGACCCAACTCGCCGCAGACCAAGAGTGACGAACAAACAGCGAACAGCACGCACACACACACACACACACACGCCACACACACACGCACACACACAACACACACGCACACACACACACACGCACACACACACACACACGCACGCACGCACGCACACACACAGACACACACACACACACACACACGCACACGCACACGCACACAGACACAGACACACACACAGACACACAGACACACAGACACACAGACACACAGACACACAGACACACAGACACTCAGACACACAGACACACACACACACACGCACGCATGCACGCACGCACGCACGCACACACACACACACAACACACAACACACACACGCACACACGCACACACACACACACACACACACACGCACACACGCACACACACACGCACACACACACAGACACACAACACACACACACTCACACACACACACGCACACACACAGACACACAACACACACACACACACACACACACACACGCACGCACGCACGCACGCACGCACGCACGCACGCACGCACGCACACATATCCATAGGGGAGACGGAGGGGGCTATGGGAGGCGTGTTGTCGGATGGGGGCCCCCGCTCGGGAGGGAGCTTCCCCTGGTGTCCGACAGACCGCGCCCATACCCATGCCATAGCCAGCCCTCCTCCCTCCGACCCCCCTGTGGCTTCGGTGGGGACCCATGCCAAGAAACACCCTGCTCGCCTCCAGGGTGCCCTGGGTTTCTTGGGTTTCGATGGTTTTGCTATTGAGAGCGTGATGTTCCCGTACCAAAAAAACATGGACGTCCTGTGGTCTCAGGATTGGGGTTCTTGTGGAAGGTTTCTTTTGGACTGGCCTCCACCGTCTGGGTGCATGCTGTTCGATCGTCAGAGGGCGTGCTACGCAGCAGCTGGAGGGCACCGCCGAGCGCCCCTCGCGCACCCGCCGCTGGGCCCCGCCCTCGGGTCGCATAGCCGGGCCCCCCTGCGAGCCTGCCTCGGGCGCTGCAGGGGCCCCGCCCTGCGGCTCGGAGGGCCCGCACCCCACGGGCGGCGCCCGGCAGTGCGACCCCCGCGCGGCGCGCCAAGCTCCGGGCATGTCTCCACCAAACCGAACCACCCCAACCCAACCCGAAGGCCTCAAATCGCCCTCCATGTCCAGTGGGGGGGGGTCGCGGAGCATTGAAAAAACACGTGGAACCCGTACCCCCCCAACCCGAGACTCGGGTCAAATTCGGGTCTTCGGGTTGGGCTGGGGTGGTCTGGCGGCCGAGGCCTTCCGCCTCGGGGAGCTGCTGGCGGGGCTGGCGCGGGAGCCCCTCGAGGCCTGGCGAACGAAGGCCGCGGCGGTCCCCGGCGGCGTCCGGAGGCCCTCGGCGGCGCTCGGCGGCCCTCTCGGCGGCCCTTCCGGCGGCCCTCGGCGGCCCTCTCGGAGGCCCTTCCGGCGGCCCTCGGCGGCCCTCTCCGCGGCCCTCGCGACGGCCCTTTCCGCGGCCCTCGCGGCGGCCCTCGGCGGCCCTCTCGGCGGCCCTCGGCGGCCCTCCCCAGACATCTGGCGTCTCGATTTTTCGAGATGCGGGCCCCCGATCTCTCGATCACTTTCCAGGATCTGGTTTCTCATCCCGATCGTTTGTTGACGGTCCCGAGGCCCTATGAGGGCCCCGAGAGGCCGAAAACATTGAAAAACCTCCGTCTCGATTATTTCGAGACGCCAGATGTCTGGGTCGGCTGCCCTCACAGATCCCCTCGGGTCATGAGGAGATCGCGACGGGAGGTTCTTGCCAATTCTCGGTCTCTGGAGGCCCTCGCTGGGCCCAAGTACGGTCCAAGGAGTTCTCGATCGTGCTAGAGACGGTTCCTGGGAGTTCACCGCCGCGAATCAACGCGCTCTGGCACCATTCCTGGGAGCCCAACGCCGCAAATCAACGTGACCCATGCGTCGTGAGAATCTTATGCCGTGCGAGAACACTGTCATGGGACTTCACATTAAGGATTCTTAGAACCTGCTGCAAACATTCACGACGGATATGCGCGGCGCTGAGGCGAGAGCTACATCTTAAAATGGAGCCACCTTCCATGTTTCAAACTGTTGCGAACTTTGAAGGCGGATGTTTGCGACGCTGAGGCGAGAGCCGCATCTTGAAAACTGGCCGCCTTCCATCTTTGAAGCTGCTGGAAACATGTAAGACAATTGTGCGCGGCGCTCAGGCGAGAGCCACATCTTGAAAACGGGCCACCCCCCTCCATCCTTGACGGAGTTGCGAAGTTCAAGTTCCAGGATCACACATGGTGAGGAAGGATCCGGGGAAACGCCGGGTCCGCCCTACCGACTCGTCTGGGGGTGCGACAAGGAGGAGTTATTTACAATGAAGCAATGATGGGGGCGGAGGGGGAGGGGCAGAGGAGGAGGGATCGGGGGGGAGAGAGGGATGAGTGATGAGTGATGAGTGATGATGATGATGAGGAGGAGGAGGAGGAGGAGGAGGAGAAGGATGATGATGATGTTGAGGAGGAGGAGGAGGAGGAGGAGGAGGAGGAGGAGGGGGAGCGGACGGATGATCAGGAGGAGAATGTGAGGGATGCGACAATGAGAATGCAGAGGAGAATACTGAGCAAGAGGAAGAGTTTGAGGAGGAGGCCTCTGCACCCATTCCTGCGAGGGTGTCATCATCGTCGTGGAGGTCGTCGTCAGCATCTTCTTCGTCAGCGCCCATGTCAGCGTCAACGTGAGCGTCGTCGTCAGCGTCAGCGTCATCGCCGTCGCTGGAGAAGGAGGAGGAGGACGATGAGGAGGAGGAGGAGGAGAAAGAGGAGGAGGAGCGTACCGAACACCGAAGCGAGGAGAGACAAAGGGATGGTCAGACGAAACACTCCAGGCGGCCCTACACCGTACGCGGGCACACGAAAAGGCAGCGGGCATCGGGCGCGCGAGTTTCCGCCGTCTGATCTTGCTCACGATGCCCAGACGATCCTATGCGGGAGGTATTGCCCTGGGGGTCGATCAAGTGGCAGCTCAGGCCTGCACTCCCCTCCCTCTTTCAAGAGGGAATATATATATATATACACACAGACACAATGAATCGTCGATTCCCCAGGAAATATAGGAAAATGTGGGAAGTGGGGGGGATGACAAGAATCCAGAAAATATTGGAAAATTGGGAAATCCTGTTATTTGCGTTTATTTATTTGTGTGTCCCAGGGCCCCTTCACTCCTTCCTTTCCGCAGAACCCCGTCGCAGACCTCACTCCCGAGAGAAGGGTGGAGAACAGGTGGGCTCTGTCTAGCTTGTGCCGTGTGCTTTTTCTCGCACCTCTCCGTGTACTGCCACGTCGCTTTCAATGTTGGTTCCAAGCTACGTCGACTGTTCGGAGCGCTCGTTGTGCGAACATGCCACTCTGCAATCAAATTATCTATGCGCGTCGCCGAGTCAAAGGTCACGCAGCGCAGCTCTTGTGGCATCCTCGTGCGGTTGCGGAGTCCGACTGTAATGTTCACCTGCGAACGTGGGTCACGAATTGCTGACGAATCACTTTTCACCAGCTCGCGCGAAACAAAAACAGTTCTACGACAATTTGTAGTCGTGTTTGTTCAAGGCTTTCTCTATTCAAGGGATGTCTCATCAAAAGATGTACTTCAAAGCGCGCGGACCATCAAGTCGAACAGAAGCGTCTGTCTGGGGGTGTTATGTGCGGCCGCCAGCGGGCCACCAGATGAACCAAAGCGCCCTTCAACGTGCGAAGACAGTAGATTTGGAGTGAAGCACCTGGGGGGCGCTGGTGGAGGAGCTGATTCGATGCACGTCTTCGTGGCTTTTCCTTCGGCAGCTTCCACGGCGGCTCCAGAGCCCCGAGGCTGCTCAGGAGGACTCCTCACAGCACCCCAAGTCGGCCAGACGAGGCCTGGGGGCCCCGACACCGGCGCAGCACGGTCCCAGCAGGCGGCCCAGGAGGTCCCAGGACGGACACGAAAGCCCACAGCCGTCCAAAGACACCACACAGCACTCGTCTTGATGGCTCTGGCCCCCCAGGCGCTTCGGCCCCAGGTGGAGGGCCAGAGAGGAGGCGCGCACGGGTCTTCGAGGTCCCCGGGACGGCCCAATGCTGCTTTTCCAGCGCGCCCCAGGAGGACAGCCCTAAGAGCGGCCCAGACGGCCCACGAGGGCTCCCGCCTGAAGGCATCGAGACGGAATGGCCGGCCCTCCACACGGCCCAGGAGGGCCCGGAGGAGTTCCACAAGACGGCCCAGGAGTGCCCCGCCAGACTCCAGTAGGCCGAAAGAGGCCCCAGCGGTAGGAACCCATGAGGCCTCGAAGGTTGCCTCAGACGCCGCCTTATAGGCCCTAAGGGGAGCCCTTCTGAGGTCCCCAAGACAGATCAAGAAGACCGCGACGAGGCCCATTCTGGCCCCCGTGCTGCCCGTGTCGGGCACCATGGAGGAATGGAGTCCTGACGGACATGGGTCTGGTCGGACAAGCCTATATAGAATCGCGATAAATTTGTCCCAGAGCGTTCCGGGACGCTATTAGAGCATCTGAAACGGCCGTGGCGCCCGACACATTTTCCGATCCCGCCGATGTCTCAGAGGTTCTCGATCTATACATTTATCAATATCACTGGTACATATATTTGTATACATCTGTAAGCATATGTAAACATATGTAAATATATGTAATCATATGTAAACCTATGTCTACATCTGTGGACAGATGTAAACATATGTAAACCTATGTAATGTGAGTTATAATTACATATAGATTTGTATATCAGATTGTACACACACATATATATATATATATATGTATATATATATATATATGTATGTATATCGGTTCCATTATGCCTCGATTTTGCCGTCGTTTGATCCGGGCCTTGAGCCTCTCTCTGGAGCCAGCCCTGCACGCTGAGCTGAGCTCTGGCGGCCCAAGAAGGGCTGGTCTGGAGGGCCTCGGGGGCCCGCGCAGGGCGACGAACTTCCAGGACCCGGCTCCTTCACGCCAAGCCTTAAGTCGGACCTGCCCCTCTCCAGGGGGACTGCTCAAGAATAGTCCAGAAAACATTGTCTGGGGATGAATTTTTGACTGTTTTGAAATTTTGAGCATGGTTGGAGCATTTTTGGAGTACCTTTTATTTTTCGCCTAGAATCCGCCTCTAGGGGGACAGGCCCGACCTAATCCAAGCCCCATGGGCTCACTCGGGCCGCGAGCGCTGCTCCTGCGCTGTGGGGGGGGGGGGGGCCGCTGCCGAGGACATCGCGCTGGCGTGCCACGCTCTCGCCCGGCTGGACGGCGCAGAGCCTGGCGCCGCCGCCACAGAGGTCGGGCCGTCCTGCCCCCTCCTCGTGCCGGAGCTTGACAGCCCTGCCGCTTCCCTGAGATTCGGGCGTTACATTTTTGCTCCGCAAAAGGCGTCTTCGCCCGGTTTCGGGGCCCCAGACCATCACAGATCGATCGGGCTCGGAAGTTGCAGCAGAAAGACGGGGTCTAGGGCTCGGGTCATGATTTTGCATGGTGTTGCGTTTGTATCGCGACGTCGGATCTCAGCGTCGCTCGAGCGCGCACACCCACGCGCATCCGGGCTGACAGTCCGAGGCGGAGGTTTTGTCCATGACCACGGCCTGGGATGGTCGATCTTCGGGGCCCTCGGCAAGCGCTGACGATGGATATATCTGGCCCCCCGGGGCCTCGATATGTCCATATCCAGCGCCTGCAAGGCCCCCGGAGATCGACCATGCCATGCCGTGGTTGCGAAGATATCCCCACCTCGCAGACGGGCGCGAGCGGGCCCGACAGCAACCGACGGTCAGATGTGCGGGCCGGCTCTGGGCGACTTGTCAGGAGGCCTGCAGGCAGTGGAGACCAGGGCTCCCAGGGCGCTGCCAGGACGCCCGCAGGGCGCGCGCCCCCAGGGGGCGCCGAGAGCGTTCCCACCGCGCACCCAGAGAGCTCCCAGGCTTCCAGGGCGTTCCCAGGGCGCCCCTACGACGCTCTCAGGGCGCTCCCATTGCACATCCAGGGCGCTCCCAAAGCGCGTGCGGCTGGCCTTCAGTTCGGCATCGATCGTTTGGATCCGCCCTTTTGGGGGGAAGCAGGGGAGCGGGGCTGCGGACGGCGCCTTTGTTTTTTTTGGAATCTCGCTAGACTCTTCCAGAGGATCTTCGTGGCCTCTGGCCGCTGCTGCATGCTCACTCGGGGCATCCGCAGAAGCTACCAGGGGCTCGGAGAGCCGTTCGGAAACAGCCGTATCGACCAACAGTGTAGAGCGTCAGCGAGCGTTGGACTGTGCATGGGCGGCATTGTGACTTGACTTGGGGTGCTCGAAACGGCACTACAAGTACGCGATTTCCTATGTGATATGGTCCTCGCGAGTCCTCCTAACTCTCGTCGCTCCCTCTCTTGCCTCCATGGCGTTTGGTTAAGCAAATATTCATAACCGTGTATGGGTGTCTTCACGACTTTATGCTTGCGACGTGTGTTCTCTGCCGTACCTGTTACGGCTCAAGCTCTTTGGTCATGCACCATCGACGCAGACATTCCTTCTCCGGGCAGGGACCGAGCGTGTTCGCGGGATTCCTACTGCTCATGTTGTGCGCGGCGGCTCTGGCAGTGCCCTTCGTGCGAGCCGGCGGTGACCTGCGGCGTCTGCCCTTCGTTCGACTGCCCGGAGTGCCAGTGTGCTCCACACCTCCAGCGCCCGAGCTCGGAGCACGTGCCTCAGAGCTCCTTCGACCAGGGGGACATCTCGCTCATCGTGTTGCTTGGCGGCCTGGCGTCGGCGGCGGGACCAGGGTACCTCGCGGGACGGCGCGGGGCTGGCCATATCCGTTATCCGTCCAGCTCGCGGGCCCCTTCCCTCCATGCTGCGAGGGTGGTCCGGCCGCCGGCGCCTGCTGCGATCGAGGACGTTGCCACGGAGGCGCGCAGGCAGGCGCGGCGGGGTGCGGCGACAGCGCTGGCTCGACGCTAGACGCGATGGCAGCTCACCCTGTTGCAGCTGCGTATGGAGCGGCCGATGGCGATTTTGTGTATGTCAGTTACAGTCACGCCCAGCGGCTCTGGCACAATAGGATGATCGCCCTGCTTGTTGACAACGCTGGGGCGTGCGTATCGATCGCCACGCCCGACGGCGTTGAGTACGACGAGAACTTCGGCAGATCCGACATCGTCGAGGCGCAGGTGGCCCCTGGCATGGCGGCGGGCGGCGTGCTTGGAGAGGTCGGGGGCGACTCCCTCTGCCGCTTCCGAGCGGTACCGACCGCCGCCTCCACTACCGCGGCTTGCGCCGCTGCCTGCGCTAGGCACTGGGCAGCCACCCCCCAAGGCGAGCTCGTGCCCAACGTCGGAAGACGAGCTGGGGCTGGCGCCGCGGCCCCTGCTGGTGTCGCCTTGGCACCAGCCCCCACGGGCGTCTCCGCTGGCGCAGCTGCTGGGGCCGGCGCCCTCGCCCCCGCTGTTGGGCTTGGAGTGCTGGTGGCGGCGCTGGGCGTGGCTGCCCAGCCGGTGCCCGCTGGCGCGCTGTCGCTGCCCGTGGCTGGTGGCGCGGCCGCATCGGAGGCGGCCGGTGGCGGGGTCGCCGCGGGCGCTGCTGTTCCTGCCCTTGGAGGGGCCGCCGCTGGTCCTGCTGGAGATGGCGCGGCAGTCGCTGGCCCCGTGATCGCTGCGGCTCGCGCCGCGGGCGGTGCGCTAGGTGCGGGCGCTCCTGCTGCTGGCTTCGACGGGCTTGGCGACTACTTCGACCTGCGCGTGGTTCCGATCCAGTTTGACCTGCTGGAGGAGCGCCATGTGCCTCTGGACAGGGCATGGCTCGGCTTCCGAGATTGCCCTTTCCTGGACAGGGCTGGCCCACCGAGGGCCCCCGCTCGTGCGTATGAGTCTGCTGCTACATCGGGCAGAACGGCAGCTCGCCGATGGGGCGCCATGCCCGCTGGAAGCACGATGCAAAGCTCCAGGCGCTGGATGTGGGGGTGGCCGAGCACGAACGGTGCTGCCAGCAGCAGTTAGAGGCCATAGCGCTCTACGACCAGATGAGTCTGCCCAGCTGCGCGACGGCCGAGCCCCTTGCCCACCCCCTACAGATGCAGGAGGTGCGCTGGTGGGAGCGGCTCAGCGGCCACAAGTGCGACTCGGTGGGTGACTCTGACCTTTGCTATGGGGCGGGCATCATCAGGTCAGCGCTGGGCCGCGAGTACGTACTGCTCAAGGAACGTCACAAATCATCAGAAGAACTAGAAGCGGCCCGCAGGGGCAGGAGGAAATATGACGCATGACCCAGGGAGACGCCAGGCGCATCGGAGGGGGTGCCCTGGGCCGATCAACGAGCCGCAGAGCGACGGTTCCACCCCTCCTCGTTTCTCGCCCTCGGCATCGGCACCGCAGAGAGCTGACCGCCAGAGAGCCCTGCTCCCGCTGCCTGCGTTGCCTTGTCGGTCTGGCGCCGTTTGCCCGGGCCGCGCTGGTCACGCAGTTGAGCAGAGGGGGAGCCGCCGAGCGCGCGTGCTGGATTGGGCGAGCGCTTCCATTAGTAGCCTAAACCAGCTGCATGGGTTCCCGCGAGCCTCTTGTTCCAGTCCTCCTGGCCTCCCTTCTCCCTCTCTCAATTCATCTCAGCGCTTCGCGCACCGGCGCATCTTGGATTGTTTCAAACAGGTGGGCGCCCAGCCGGCCGATTTAACTAGCAAGGAAGCCCTCCGTGATCGTCTTGCCGGGCCAGGCATTTATCCCGATAGCTCTACCCGCAAACCTTATGCACGCCATCTTGTGGCCTGGCCCGAGGTCGGAAGCAGCCCCAACCCCGTGGACTCATGTCTGTCTCAGGTCGATCGTGATTGGCTAATGTCGTGGCGTGATAATTTGCTTTTGCCGGTTGATGTAGCAGAGAAGCAGCGGTGTTCGATCTGCGCGAATGGCCCCACGTTGATTCCGCCCTCCGCTCTCCGTCCCTCTACCGAGACTTTTCGCTTCAGCTGCAGAAGTGTGGAGTGATTACGTGGTTTCGCGAGCCCTCCCGGTTTGCGCTGTTCGGAGTTCTTATGTCGCGAAGCGAAGCGGTCAGCTTCGCATCATCTTCGATACTAGGCTTTGTAATTGCTATTTTGCAGAGGCGGCTTCTGCTCACCCCCCGACCCCCTGGGCCTTTGCGGGCTTTCAGACAGGTCCAAAGGTCCAGCGCCCAACAGGGGCCGTCGGGGCATCCGGGAGTTTAAGCTGCGCGTTCTATCGCCTCAAGGTCCCTCAAGGCCTCGACGAGCAATTTAGCCTCCCGTCTGTTTCTTGCGACCTAGTCGGGGCCCACGAGATTGATGGGGTCTCGCTTGGCTCCGGCACTCTTGTTTCCCCTTGTCTAGTTGCGCTTCCTATGGGGCGGAGCTGGGCAATGCATCTGCACCAGGCAGTAGTTAGGCAATCGCTCCTTGACGTCGGAAGACAGGATCACGCGGCGATCGAGGACGGCCAGGGCCCGCCCAGACTCTCGTCGCGCACTGCCGTCGCTGCCGCCGCCCACGCCAATAACTTCTCCGTCTTCTCTGCCAGTGAGAGCGCCACTAACCAGGTGAATCAAGCTATCATCTCGGATCTCCAGGGGGAGGGGCTCGTCGTGCACGAGGTGTCCGAGGCGTCGAGGGAGATGGGCTTCGTAGGGCTGCAGATGACGGATGGGCACTCAGTGAGTCTGAAGACCAAAAACATATGGCGGCTACGTCCTGGGATTGAATCTTTGTTCTTCGGCGCGAGGGGCTCTGTCTCTTAGATGATTGCTACGCGTTTATCCAGAGATGCATCGACTCCCCGTCCCAGCGCACCTTGTGGCTTCGTGTGAGACAGGAGCTCTGGCGCGTCCATTGCCTGTTACCTCTCAGCCGCGTTGACTGGCGAGCTCAGTGGTCGTCGGACTTGCACTGCTGCGATGCATCGCCGTTTGGGCTGGCGGTCTGTCACCGACGCGTGGCCCGATCCATTGCCGGTAAAGTCGGGCAGTGCAGCGAACGATGGAGGCATCGGGTGGCTGGTGCTGAAGCTCGCTCGCGTGCCCTCGGATCTTCCCTACTTCCATCGTGTCCGCGTGGCTTCGCTGGCCCCGTCGCGCACCAGCCGGGGGATGGCGACGCCACTTTTGGGGCGGAGGAGGATGACATCATGCCTTACATAAAGGTCAAGTCTGCCGTCTTCGGGGAGGTCCCGGCCGAGCTCCTGGAGGCCTCCAAGTAGGCGCTGTCTTGGCGTCTCAGGTGGTAGTTCCAGGCAGTATCTTGGGCTTTGAAGGGGGTGCTGCTGCATTGGCCGTTCGTCATGCGCTACGGTCACCACGCAACCTAGGAGCCAAAATAATTCTCGTCGTGGACAACTTACCATGATGTCTGGGCCTGTGCAGGGGGCGCGCAAAATCTATTCACCTACGCCCTGCTTTACGTAAGGTTTGCAGCCTGTCTCTGGCCACTGGTAGTCGCGCTGCTACCCAGTGGCGCCCCTCAGAGCTCAACCCGTCAGAAAAGGGCCTCAGAGGCAAGCTCGGCTGGTCCAGTGGGCCCAGCCGCCAAGCTAAGTCGCGCGCGGCAGTTCATGGCCGTGATCCGTCTGCACCTGTTCGGGCTCAACCCCCAGGACCTTCTGCGACCGCGCATGCATTACCATGGTTTTCACGCCCTACCGGAGGCGCCGCTCTGGACGCGCTCGGGGCGGAGGCGCCGCCGCTCGGCGGCAGGGCAGTCTCGACGGGAGCGCTCCGCCCTGGCACGAGCGACAGCTGCCCAGAGACCAACTCCGCCGACCCTCTCAGGACTGGAGCAGACGGCGGTGAAGCCCGCTGCGGAGAAGCGGTACCGCAGCTGGCTGATGGACTTCCGCTTGTTCAGCACTGCGCTGGGCCTCGCGTAGAGCTTGCGCGCGGGCCTCGGCGCGGCGCTCGCCCTGGAGGCGCTGGAGCCCCACCTCTACTTCCTCCGCCACGGGGGCTTGGGCGACCCCCTGGGGGAGAGCGAGGCCAGGCATGCCTGTCAACGCCGCGGCCGTAGAGCATCAAGCCAGCCCCTCAGGTGCAGGGGGGTGACTTGTGCTGACGCGGCTCAACGGGCTCCCCAGCTCCACGCTCGAGCTCGGACTGCAGGTCGAGAGCAACTTCGCCGCGTTTGCCGAGCAGAGGCTGACAGAGAGCGGGTCGGTCAGTCGGCTGGCGCCTCGGACGCGCCTCGCGCTCTCGTGCTTCGGAAAGCCGCTGCGCTCGCTGCCTCTGCACTCGATGCCGAGCGCCGGCTTGCACCTGTGTTCCAGAGGGCTGCGCGCGAAGGGCGGGACTTCCGCAGGTGTTTTTTTTTTCTTGAGCTCTTCTGTGGCAGTGCTAGCCTTTCCATGCAGTTGCGTCGCCGCGGCCGCGCTGCGCTTGGCCTCGACATTTTACAGCACGCTGCCGAAGACCATCTCTTGCCAGCCTTTGTTCGCCGTGTACGGGGATGGATCCTCTCGTAGGCTATCTGCTGCGCTTGGCTAGAAGCACCTTGCACCGCGCTCTCCGCTGCTAGGCGCTCCCCGTTTCGCCCCTCTTCTTTCCCTCTCGGCCTCCCTGGCCTTTCTGATCAGGGCCTAGCAGCGGTGAGCGTGGGGAACCGCCTTGTTTCACCCTCAACATCGTGCGCCTCTGCATGTTGTACAAGTGTCCTGTTGCCGTCGAGAACCTTCGCACCTCTGTAATCTGGCAGGTGCCTGCCATGAAGAAGTTGCTATCCCACTCGCAGTGCCATGAAGTAGTATTAGATTATTGCTAGTGTGGTAAGCCCTAGCGTAAGAGAGCCAGGATCTCCTTCTGGCACGTTGGCTCCGAGTGTCTGGAGCTCGGCCGTCTTTGCCGCCCTGTAGCTGGAAAGTGTTCGCGCGCAGGCTGCGCTCACCTCGAGCTTGTCGGCCGCGACCCTGTCAGTAATAGGCATTGGATGCCGATCGCTTGCCGTTACCCCAGTCAGTTGTGCTCTGAGATTGCATCGGTGGTGATAGCAGCCGTCGGTCAACAGCGTGCCGAAATTTTCGCTGCTCGATTGGGTGTATGATGCGGCCAGGTTGCCATTTCTCGCCTGCGGGAGTGGGTTTGCCTGCAATGAATCACTGATCGTTTTTTGCTTTTTGCCTGGCTGGGCAGCTGTCGGGTCCCGCCCTGCGCCTCATCGCATTGAAGGAATAAAAGAGGCCCTGTCTCGCTGGGACCCCCTTCAGAGCCTGGCAGAGATTGGAATGTAGGCAAGCTGGGTGTCTTCACGTCTTTATGCTTAGGACGTGTGTTCTCTGCCGTACTTGTTACGGCTCAAGCTCTCCCCTCCCTCCCTCCTTCGCGTTCTCCTACTCTCTACCCCTCACGGGGGCTTGCCATCAACGAATCGCTTACAGTTTGTTGTTCCTTACCCTGCTGGGCAGGTGTCGCGTCCCGCCCCACGCTTCATCGCATTGAAGGACTAAAGGAGGCCCTGTCTCGCTGGGACCCCTTCTTCGGAGCCTGGCAGAGATGTAGGCAAATTTGATACAATATGTATATATATATACATACATCCATATATAGATACATAGATACATATATACATACATACATACATACATACATACATACATACATACATACATACATACATACTTACATGCATACATATATTTCATTCATTCATTCATTCATTCATTCATTCAGACATACATGCACATGTGTGTGCGGGTTCTGGCCGACATTTCGCTTCACCACACAGGGTATGTTGCGGGCGGCTTTTTCTGGAGGAGCGCGCCAGGCAAGATATGGCGCCCAATCTTATTCGCCCAGGATCCATGCCTTCGCACATAGGGGTATACATCTGTACACATGGGTGTACCCAAATTAGACTCTCGTCTCCGAGGGACCCTGCACAACTGCCAGCTGCCGCCGCCCAGCCCATGAGAAAAAATCGGTGGTGGTCAAGGGATATCACACACGCGCACCGTGCTCGTTTCCGATGTGCCATGGCGGGCTGGAGGCTGGTTTGGTCCTAACCGCCTGTCGAGTCGCAATCTTGAGGCTAGGCCAACGTAGAAGTGAACACACACACACACAAAAGTAGAAGCAATCTGGGATGGATGGTGTGCACGTTGGCGTTTTGATGGCTACGATCTCCACTGCGCCAGTATTCCCCCCCCTCGCCAGCAGTTTTTTCCAGGAGCGGGGGTGTTGCCAGAGGGGGCAATCGGCGATCCAGGGGGGTAAATCGGCCAGTGGGGCCCAGGCCGCGCCGTTGGGGGTAGGGGTCGGATAAACGATGCTCAGAAATGGGGGGATTGGGAAAAGGGGGGGGGGGGGGGGGCGAAATTGAAATCAGCTACGTAAGCGGGCTCGCTGCCCCCCCCCCCGCTGACCTCCCCCGTCGTCCGACCCGATCCTGGCAGGGCCTGCACCGACCTCGATGCGCTTCGGAGTGCCTCGGCTGCGACTTCCCTGGTCGGTTCGGGTGCAGTCTCTCCCTGCACGGCTCCTGCGTGGAGCTCGAGGCCGCCAGTGCCGCACGTGAAGCACATCTTGTCCCGGGCGTGTCTCCTGCCGCCTCCTCCGCGGCCGCTCTTCTTCCCTCCCCACCGCCCAGGTGCACACTGCCGAGGCAAGAAACACGGGGACCATGGCCAAGATGTCGCGGGATCTTGTCGATGCCGATCTTGGTCGCGGTCCACGTCGACCGTCGCCGATCCGCCATGATGATCCTCGAATTGGCGTGGACCAAGATCGGCGGTGACCAAGATCGACACGACATGTCCGCGTTTAGTCTTGGTTACGGTCCCCGCCTTCTTCCCGTCCACAATGTGCGAGGCCGTGGCCCATTCCATCCAGGACGCGGTGTGGCCCACACCGGCACGACCGAACAAGCTCGCGCTTCCGCTTGGCGCGCGATCGGCTGGTTCTGGATGCGTGCTCCGTGGGCCAGGGCAGAACGCGGAAGCGGCCTCTGGTTTCGAGTGTGCGACCGCTCTCGAAGTAGTGATCAGGCAGGGCCATCCGATGCGAGAGGCGTTCTGTAACCGTGCGATCGGCGAGGTGCTGCATGCGACGCGGGCGTCTGGCGGAGCGCCGCGTGCCGGGTGCTGGCGGTCGGCGCGCGGTCCGTGCACCGGGCCGCCTTTGGTGCACGCCAGTCGCGGTCTGCTCTCGTGTGGGACCACTCGGTGCGATCTGCCGCGCTGTGACATCCAGCGACGCGTGGGCACCTGCCAAGTCTGGGGCAGGCCCAGGTTGCCCAACGCATCGATCCGGATGGTCAAGAGATCGTGCCCAACAATGTCCTGTCCGAGTGGGCACGCACAGCTCACGGTCCTGCGCCATGGGCAACGCCAGGTGGCAGCAGCAATGGCCGGCTCGGGTCGGACTCTTCGCGCTCACGTGTGTTATTGGCTGGTTCTTGTGGAGGACCCCATGGGCCCATTACGCTTGCTCGCAGCGAGCGATTTTGCCTTGCAGTTTCTGCGTGTGTGTGTGTGTGTGATTTCAGCTTTCAGGATTTGTTATCAGGGAATCGTCAGGAGATAGCGAAGAGGGCCCTGCCGCTCTTGCTGAAGCGGTTAGGGGCACGGCACCCTCTTGCGAAAACGGCATCCAGGTGGAATCACCGTGCCGCCTTGTTCTGCCAGGGATCCCTCTCGCCTTGCCGGCTCCGTCAGCTTCTGCCGCAGCCACCTGGCTGGCTCCCGCCCGACCCGCTGGGCGCGAGCCCTGGGTCGCAGCGAGCCGCCCGCGCGCAGAAGCTCTGGGCGGGCGCGCACCAACGAAGTCCTCCGCCCGCTCCCGCCGAGCCTTGATGTCGGCCTGAGCACCTCCGCTGGCCAGGATCGCCGCGGCAGGCGGATGCCGCCCGTGGGCTACGGCGCGGTGGAGGGCCCGAGCGGCACCGGCGGGGCGCGCCTCGCCGCCGAGCTGGCAGACGCAGAGGCAGGCGCCGAGGAGGCCCCCCTGGCACTACAGGCCGGGTGTCCCAGCCCGGCGCCCCGTCGGGGCGGGTGGACGAAGGTCGCGCAGGGCAGGAGGCACGGGTACCGATGCCGCTGCACACCGCCCTCGTGTTCGCCCTTTTTCGGTCTCCTGGGAGGCCCCCGCCGCAACGGCCGCGTGCGCCTCGGAATGCTGGTCAGAGCGCACGCCGGGAGAGGTCCTGGAGGAGCGGCATCGGTATTTGCTGGTTGCCCCAGCAGGTGGTTCAGCAGGGCAAGCGCTTGTCGGACGCGGCAGTCGCTGCCCTGCCCGCATTTGCCTGCGATGGGCCGCCAGAGCCAGAGTGGCACGCCAACGGCACCATCGTCGGGCTTCTGATCGACGTCGGCGGCACGAGTGGATACTACATGTTTCTGATATTGACAATGTTTTTCGGCCTGGAGGCAAACAAGGACGAACTGCTCGCCTGCCACATCGGTACTGGCCGCATGCAGCTCGCAACGTGGCCCCAGGCTTGCTTGTGCGAGTACACGAAGGCGCACCTGCTGATCTTCCCCACGCTGGCACTGTCGGTGGTGCTGGTCTTCATGGGCCGTGACCTGCTGCAGAAGCGGCTGTACTACGGCCTGCTGCGCAGCGGGGGCGTCGTGGACTTCTCCCAGAACAAGGCCTTCAAGGACTCGCTCGTGCTGCTCTTCATCGTGAACTACCTGCACGTGGTCAGCCACCTGGCGCTGATGTACTGGGTGGCTCGACCGGCCTACTCGCACACGGAGGACGATCCCTCGGTCGCCGCTCCCGGGTTCCTGCGGCACCAGGCGGACGCCATGCGGAGGAACCTCGCCCTGGAGAGCGGGAACCTGCATGCGCTGGGCTTCCTCTGGGGGACGGTCATGATACCGGGCACGCTGGTCGTCGTCTTCGTGTTCCTGGGCTACGAGATAGAGAAATCCCTCGTGCCACTGAGTCTGTACGTCCACGGGCTGAATGATTCCCAGGCGCCTGAAGCGGCGCTGCAGGGCCTGTCCGTATTCCGAGACGCTTCTGCCAAGGCTGTCATCGAGGACCCGTCGGGTCCCGTCGCCGCCGCCAGCGGCAGCGACCTCGACACGCAGTACAGGGCGGTCGTCGATGCTGCGAGCCAAGTGCCCCCATCACAGGATCCAGGGTAGAGGGTAGAGGGCAAGACCCCACCCGACGACGATCTTCGAGCCCCCGTCCTTGGCTCCCACATCCCTCTCAGTCTCTTCTTCGCCAGGGCATCCCAGCGTGCAGCACACCAGAGCCAGAAGCCTAGGGGGGCCGGGCCCCCGGGCCCCGAGCCTCCGTCGGTGGAGTGCTCCTGCCGTCCTGCGGGTGCACCTCCGCCCCTGTTCCCCGGCTCCCTCCCTGCCCCTTCCGCACCCCTTCCGGCAGCTGAAGCCAAGGCGCTGACGTGAAGTCGGGCGTGTCCCTCTACAGGGGGAGTATTCAGAAATAGTAAAAAAATAGTCAGGGGCCGATGTTTTGACTCTTTTGGGGCATTTGGGGAGTATTGTTTGAGTATTTTTTATTTTTCGCCCAAAATCCCCCTGTAGGGGGATACGCTCGACTTAACGCTAACGTAATCGGCGTCACCCCAACACATTTATACTGTATGTGCGTCGCCCCCCGCCCCCCCCAGGGGCGACGCGCGCACCGAGAAATCTTGTAGTATATGTGTCGCGGCGGGCGCTCTCTGGCCACACCGTTCGGGAAAGGATGCACTACAAGATGGGTACACTACATGTTCGTCGGACGCGCGCCTCCAAGGGGAACATATCGTACGAGTACGTCTCTGGGCGTCCCAACGTAAGGCTCGCCCTGGGCTCCAGGTGGGTGCCGCTCCCGGGGCTCAGGCCATGCCACGAGATGGGCACACACCGCGTGTTCGGGTCGGACGCGCGCCTCCAAGGGGAGCGTACGGTACCAGTATGCCCCTGTGCGTCCCAGCATGAGGATCGCCCTGGGCTCCAGAGGGGCCCTGCTGCTCGTGCCGCTCCCGGGGCTCGGCTGGGGGGCCCTGCTCGTGGCCGGGGCCCGCCGCGGCCAGAAGCAAAGCCCCTTTGTTCCCTGCCGTCGGTTCCCCCCCTGGAGATGTGCGGTGTTTCCCCCCCCCCCCCCTCTCCTCACAGTCCCCCCTCACCCTCCTCCCTCCCCCTTCTTCTCTCCCTCCTTCGTCTCCTCCTCCTCCTCCTCCTGCTCCTCCTCCATCCCATTTCTCTCCTGAAGAACTCCTCGGCCCCTCACGTGGCCTTCCGAGTGGCAGCACGGTGGCTGTACTTTTTGTGGCGCGGGGCGGGAGTGCAATTCCGAGGAGGAAAAGGTACCTATACCGCTACCCTTCGCTTGTTTTCCCTTTGTTGGGCCTCCTCGGCGGCCCTCGCCACCACCGCTGAATTCGCCTCGAAATTCTGGTCAGAACGCACCCTGGAAGAGGAGGTCCGGGCAGTAGCGGTATCGGTACCTTTTTGCTTTCCCCAGTAAAAGGGCGCAGTCCAGGAAACGCCTCCCCGCGGCCAGGAAACGTTCCTCCTCCTCCTCCTTCTCCTCCTCCTCCTCCTCCTCCTCCTCCTCCTCCTCCTCCTCCTCCTCCTCCTATGGCTGCACTTTTTGGTGGCGCGTGGCGGGAGCGCGACGGGGCACAGCCCGAAGCCTTGGCCGCGCGCAGGACTTCGAGGGCCCCTCCATCGGGCTGCGCGAGGCCCTGTGGCCCGTGGCCCTGCTGCTGCGGTCCAACACGCCGGACCGCGACGCGCGGACCTTCCGGTGGCTGTGGCTGGCCCTGGCCAGCGCCTCCATCAGCATGATGGTGCTCGGAGCCCCTCGCTGCCTTCGCTGCCCAACCCCAGGGAGGGGAGAAAAAACAAGCACGCAGGCACGATTCATCGCCGAGTCCCAGGACATGTGGGGAAGTAGGGGACGTGGGGGCGAGGACGACAACCCACGAAGCATGGGAAGATATGGGGGGCCCTGTCTTTTGCGTGTGTGTGTGTGTATTTCTTAGTGTGTCCTGGGCCCCTGGAAATCCCTCCGCCCCCCTCCGCGTCGTGAGCCAAGTCGTGGGCGGGAGCTTTTTGTGGCCGTGTTCGGCCCCTGGGCGCGGCCCTCGACGGGCCCCCATAGAGCGTCACCGCACAAGGCGGGATGAACGGCCAGTCCTCCTTCTCCTCCTCCTCCTCCTCCTCCTCGTCGTCCTCCTCCTCCTCCTCCCTCGCGTGAGCCCAGACCCACGGCGAGGCGCCCCCCCCTCCCGTTCACGTTGTGTTCACGTTGTGACAGAAATCACGACGTCGGGGTCAGGGACCCCTTCCCTCGTGGCGGACGAGGAAGGGATGAGAGAGTGGGGGTTGGGGCGGTGGGGGGGATGTGGGCGCACAGCCAATCCGCATCACGAGCATGAGCTTCTTTCCGAGGGTGCCCTTGCATCTATGCCTTCCGGCCAATTCCAGTCCTTGGTCGTGGGCCATGGGCTTCCCCTGACTTCGGCTTCAGGTTGGGGTTTCCCAGGGTCTTGAATCCTTACTCCGCATCCTTTCCTTACACCCGGTGTCTTGATTTCATGATTTCACCGGAAGTCCCGACCTTTTCCACAAGGGCCATTTTTTCATACCCGGTCTTTTTTGGCGGCCCCGGGGCCCGGCGAGAGCCCCCAGACGCCGAAATTGCCCAACATTGCCCGTTGCATTTTTTCCACGACGCGAGCATATCTGGGACCCTTACCGCGCACCCTAATGATCTGGTCGCGTTGGAACCAGCACCTCCGAGGTGTTCGGGACGCTGACCTTAGGCCCGCAGCTCGTACACGACCTCGGGCGCGCTCAGCGCGAGGGCAGGGGGCAGGTCTACGCGCAGGTGCCCGTGCTGGCGTGCGGCATCCTCCTGGTGTGTTCGATGCTCAGTGTCTGCTGATCGCGCGATCGGCGATCGCAGGTCGCAGTGATTGGGGGATCACGTGATCGGTTCGGCTCGATCACGCGGTCGTCCGAGCTTGAATGCGTGGTCGATGCGTGGTCGGCGCGGTAGCTACCTTGACCGGGGCTGCAATAGGATCACACGATCGGATGGCGTGACCGGCCGAGTGATCAGCCAGACGCTAAGGTTCGGCGGTGCGGCAGTTTGCCGAGACATTCTTCTCGTACCGCCCCGTGAAGCGGAAGAGTGCCTGCGAGGGGCAGGAGCCAAGGGAGGAAGAAGTCAGAGGAGGGAACGGTGCTGATGCCACGGTTCGTCCTGGAAGGCCCTCGTCACCACGGCTGGATTCTCTACGAATTTCTGGCCAGAACCCCTCCCGTGGAGAGGTCTGGGGAGTAATCAGTATCGGTGCCTGGTTGCCCCCCCCACATTGTTTTGGCCCAAAAAAGCCCAGGGTGTGTACTGAACAGTCCAGCCCGATCGAACCCTCCTGTAGAGGGCCTCGCTTGCAGGGGCACTTGCGTATTATGAGGGTGGCATCTCTGTCAAGGAGACGCCAATCGACGCCTTCTCGACGGCCCGCGAGGCCCCGGCAGCGGCGAGCGCCAGCGGCGCCGAGTGCCCCAAGACGAAGTGACGCGCTCCTGCACGGCGCCCGCCGCGCGCGGCGCGAGGGCGACGGGGGGGGTCCCTGTCGCGCCGCCGCCCCGCTCCAAAACTACCGCCCCGCGGGCGCGGCGTGCGTCAGGGGCAACGTTTGGGGGGGATGCGCAGGCTCAGGGAGGACGCATCGATCCCCGATCGCCCATTAATCGTCGACAGGGGCCCGATAGCCCTCCCCGCTCGCAAGGCCGTGCGGATTCGTCATCGGGGGCACATCGCCGACCCATCGGCGATGTATCGTCGATCTCAGAACTGGAGTCCCCACCTGTCGTTGCCCCCCTCTGCGGCTCCAGAGGAGCGCTTCCCGCCGGTCCCGCACTTGCGGCCCGCGGATGCCGCAGGCTCTGCAGCCAGGTGCGCGCCCCACCCCTGCGGGTCCAGCGGGCGCTGGGGGAATCGGACTTCCCGCTTGAAGAAGACGGGGTCGACTCCGCCGACATTGCGCGCAAGCTTCCCGCGTCAGATGGCGCGTAAGCGCTCTCGTCTCCAATGTGGCGTGCCACGATGGCGCCACGCGTAAGCCAGTGCGTGAGGTCGCTTGTGTCATCTCGCGTAAGACCCGTTTCTTGTCGTCGCCCACCTGGCTGCAGGCATTCTTCGCGTTCTGACCTCAGCCGCTTCTCGAGAAATCTGGCCCGCTGGGGTAGGGTTCACATGCCGCCGTCCACAGGCCCACCCCCGAGCGTGTCGAGGAGGACGAAGGGAGGGGGTTGGGGACAAGGGCGAGCGAAATTCGTTGCGCTCAGATGCTTTCAGCTCCACTGCCAGGCGCGCTCCTGGATAAATACATGGCCGCTCTCAGAGCCTCGATGCGCCCGACAAAAAATAGCTACACGCAGTCGCCGCCACGCTAGCCCAACGGGTCCACTTCGATCCGACCGATCCGGTCGATACGATTCGTTCCCGATAGGTGTGCCGACCATCCGATTGCGGCCCGATGCCTGCGTGGCGCTTTTGCGCATCACTGGCGCGGCCGAGCCGACCCCATTCCGGCTCCGTACTAACGCGGCCCGACGCACGCCTTGCTGCCAGACGCCCGACGTCTTGTTTCTTTCAATGCGGGGCCTCTCAGGAGTCCCGACCAGTTCCCCAGGGCTGCTTTTTCATCCCGAGCCGTTTGCTGACGCTCCCGCGGGGGCCCAGCGAGGGCCCCCAGAGACCGCAAACTGGCCAACAGTTTCCCGCCGGGTGTGCTGTCCGCGACGCGAAGGGGGCTCGGGATTGTGCACCTCAGCGCGGCCGATCCGACCCGGCTCCGGCTCCGTGCCGACGGGGCCCGAGGTAGCGCACGCCCCGGTCGAGCCGGTTTCCCGGCTCGGTGCCGGCCGTTCTTCGAGCCTCGGACCTCGCTCGATCATTACCCCTGAACATCGCACCTCGCATGTCGAGCTTCGACCGTGCCCAATCGCGCCTCGAACCCCGATCGAGCGCTCGCGACGCGGACCAGCCGAGTTGTTCTGTTGGTGTCGTCGCTTCAGCTCGCTGTCCCTGCGCCCGCCCCTGGCGACCGACCCCGCCTGCCCATCGGACAGGGCCTTGCGGCGCTGCTTCCTGGGGGCGGGGAGGCCACGGACCGGGGCGCGAGGAGACGCGGCCTCAGACCTCGAACTTCGAGCCCTGATCGCTCGATCGAACCTCCGAGGCTCCGACCGAGCGATCGAGCCTCGAGCGATCGGCCGCGACCGCCCCGTGCCGAAGGCGCACCCGCTCGGCGGCGCCCGCGCCTCCGACCTCGAGGCGTTCCTCTCGGCCGTGGCCGCCTGCCTGCCCGGCCGCCTCGGCGGCTGCAAGCCGCAGGACGCCCCCGCCGGGGCGGCGCTGCGCGGCGTCGTCCTCCGCCCACCCGCCCGCCCTGCTTCTCCCTCCTCCTCCTCCTCCTCCTCCTCCTCCTCCTCCTCCTCCTTTTCCTCCTCCTCCTCCTCCTCCTCCTCCTCCTCCTCCTCCTCCTCCTCCTCCTCCCGTATAGCCGTTTTGGCGCCGCGGCGCCGCCGGACCAATCGCACTGCGGCCGAGTGCCGAGCTCAGTATGCACGTGCGGATGGGCGCGCGGCCATTCGGCTCCTGCGCGCCTTCACGGAGATCGAACGGCACAGGGGCCAGGGCCTGACGAGCCTCGCCCATGCGCTCCGCCAAGCGTTGGCTGGCGAGCCGGCTGGTGCAGTCGATGGAGCCCGTCCTGTACCTCCTCCAGGCCTGGCGCCTGAGGGCGAGCAGGCTGGCGCGCCGCCGGCAGCAGCATCGACCTCGCAGTTGCCCGCAGCCTCAACAGGGCTCCCGCGGGAGGAGGCTTTCCTGTGGAGGGATGGCGAGGCTGTGCAGGCGAGCGGCGAGGTGGAGCTGGCAGCCCCTGGAGGTGCCCCTGACGCTGGCCACAGTTCTCCGAAGGTTGTGGCACCCGCGGCCGAACAGCCTGGCGCACCACGTGCTGAAGGAGGGTACGAAGGGCCAGGAGGAGTGGGTTCGCAGGATCCCCCACAGACCCGCCCTGGCGTATCGTCGACCAACGGCGGCGCATGGGCTAGGCGGCGCGCGACGCTGGCTGCAGATGGCGAGATTTTGCGGGGCGGAGCCGCTGTTGCCGTGTCTGACCGTCGGCAAGGTTGGGCTGTCGCTTTCACGTCAGATGTATTGGCCGACTTGATCAGGGTTACAGAGCAGCGAGGGCAGCCTTCCACGTCTGCTTCATTCTTCCCTTCCGCGCACAAAGACGACTGCAAGAAGCAGTAGCTATAGGTTTTGGTGGGTGGACTTTTTCGCTCTGGCATTTTGTTCGGGCCACTGCAAGAGTTGGGCTCTTCCCCGCTGCATCGAACGGTGCTTGGCTGTATTTCGGCTGAGCCTGGCCCAGGCTCACAGTGCAAGCAAGGCGCACATTATTGTTGGTTCTTGCTTATGGGACTATACCTTGGCTGTTCGTTTGGTGTCAGGGGCACTATTGTGGATTCAATCAATGTCGTTTTCGGGTTTCTCATCTCGCACCTGGCCATCGTCAGCTGGAGGGACATGAGCGTTGCGCGCAATATGGTGAACGGCTACTCGGTCCTGGTGTGGGGCTTCCTGGCCGTCGCGTCCCTCGTCGTGGTCAGGGGCTCCTCCTCTGCTTCTTTCTCCTGATTCCTCTTCAATCTGGAACATCCTCTTCCTCCTCCTCCTTCTCTTTCACTTGCTCCTCCTCGTCTTCAACCTCTCCAGCCCCTCCTCGAGCGCACGCCCCGCGCGCGGCGTTTTGCTGCTCTCAGCCTACTCGTTCCTCCTCCTCCTCCTCCTCCTCCTCCTCCTCCTCCTCCTCCTCCTCCTCCTCCTCAGAGTGTGACAGATCCTGCCCTGGGCGGCAAAGGTCGGGAGAGGAAGATGCACCGATGCCGCTGCCATTTCCTCGTCGCCACCGTTGGATTCGCTTCAGGATCCTGTTCAAGCCCTGCTGCGTCCTCAGGTCCTTTAGGAACGAGAGCGCGCGCGTCGGCCCGCGCGCTGCGGAAAGCAAAAAAGACACCACATGCCGCAGAGGCCAGAGTGCGGGTTAGGCGCTCGCTCTGGGGACCTTCACGGAGCAACCCGCTCTACTCGTGCGTCGATGATGCGCCGGTCCAGGGAGCACCGCGGGAGAGGTCCATGCAGTAGCGGACCCTTGGCGAGCTCCAGGGAGCACTGTGGTCACAACGCGCCCCTTGGGGAGGTCCAGGGACAGAGATCCAACCTATGGACAAACAGGAAGGCTGCAGCTTCATCAGTTTTCGACCTCTAGAGGCCTTCGCCGGGCCGGGGGACAGTCCAAGAATACGACGACATGGCAGTCCCTGGGAGTGGGCGGGCTCCTCATTTCACCATGAAAAAATGAACCACCACCACCACCGGCTACGGGGTCTGGCGGCTCCCCCCCCGAGCTGGTGGCACGCCGTTCCCGGCGCGCCTCCAGGGAGCATTCGGAACGGAGTGCCACCAGCTCGGGGGGGGGGGCCTTTGGGAACGGAGCTGTATGGAGTTTTGACGGTGGTGGCTCTTTTTGCTCCCATGAGTATTTACAGAAACAAGACGTCGCATCTCCAGGGAAAGGCGGGATCGGTACCTTCCTGCCCCCCCCCCAGGGAGAGGGGAAGATACTGGCGGCACGCCTCTCCTCGCCCGCTGGGGCGACGAGCGCGCGCCCCCCGCGCGCGGCGCCCCGCTGCGCTCCGCGCGCGCGCGCGCTGCGGGCGGGTGTCCTTGTCGTCGTCGTCGTCGTCGTCGTCGTCGTCGTCGTCGTCGTCGTCGTCGTCGTCGTCGTCGTCGTCGTCGTCGTCGCCTTCGCCGTCGCCGTCGCCGTCGCCGTCGCCGCCGCCGCCGCCGCCGCCGCTGCCGCCGCCGCCGCCGTCGCCGTCTCCGTCGCCGCTGCCACCGCCGCCGCCGTCGTCGCCATCGCCGTCGCTGTCGCCGTCGCCGTCGCCGTCGCCGTCGCCGTCGCCGTCGCCGTCGCCGCCGCCGCCGCCGCCGCTGCCGCCGCCGCCCCCGCAGGTGCTGCCGCCAACGCCGCCGCCGCCATCGTCTTTGCGTCGTCGCCTTCCGGGCCGGCCCGCCTGGCCCGCCGGGGCGACGAGCGCATGCCCCCCGCGCGCGGCGCCTTGCTGCGCCCTGCCCCGCCCAGGGTTTCCGAGGATCACCGTGGCTTCAACGCGGGCTGCGTGGCGTCATTCTCCGCCCACCAATCCACCCTGCACTTCTTCCCTCCTCAGCCTTCTCCGCCCCCCCCCCCTTCTACCTCCTCTTCCCCCCCTCCCATCCGCCTCGTCCCGCCTCGTCCGCCCCCCCTCCTCCGCAACCTTCCCCTCCTCTTCCTCAAACTCATCCTCCCCTCATGGAGTGCACGCTCCGCGCGCGGCGCCCCGCTGCGTTCCGCGCGAGCTGCGGGTGGGCGGCCTCCTCCGCCCGGGGCTTCTGAGGAACACCTTGGCGCCTGCGCCGTCTCAGGAGCCGAGGCTGGTCTGCTGGCGGGCCCATGGCCAGACATGCTCGCACCGTGGAAAAAAAACAAACATGACACATGGCGGGATGCGTTCGGCCGCTTTCGGCGTCCAGGGCCCCTCGGCAGGCACCATAGGACCATCAAACGCTGCTTTGGACGCAAAGCCGGCCCCGAGGGCGGGCGGGGACTTACAGAGGCCCCGTGTATGGCAAAGATGCAGACGTCGTACGGCTTTGTGGGGTCCTCCACTCGTTGCCCTCGCTGGTGCCAAGTTCCTGCGCAGCAGCATGCTCTTCTCTTCTCCTCCTCGCAGGAGACGATAGGGGCGAACAGCCCAGGGGAGAGGAATACACGGATCAAGAGTCTCCGATCGCCCATGTCTTCGACGAGGCTCCCGGGCGAAGACGTGTAATGCCCTTCTCTGGCCTATCCGCCCCTATCATCCGCTCCGACCTCCGCCGCCGTAGTTGCCGCGCGGCTGCCGCCTCGCGGTGGCGACGACGATGGGGAAGGGGACGCGGACGTGAGCGGCAGCGACAAGCACGACGGCGACAGCAACACGCGCTGGGGGACGCCAGTGTCGTCTTCGCCCCCTGAGAGCGCGGCGCTTCATTTTTGTTCGAGCCATGCGTGTTCGCCAGGTTTCGGTACCCGGGGCCCTCACAAGCCGATCCCGCTCGAACAATGGTGCAGAAAGATAGGGTCTAGAGCTCTGGTCGCGCCGTCGGATCGTCCGCCTCGATGTCGCCGTCGCCGAGTGTCCGTCGCCGTCGTCGTTGCCGTCATTCGGCGTCGCCCCCATGACATGCGACGACCTGATGCGCCGTCCCACACTTCGGTCGCGACCCCGTCCTTCTCCAGGGCTGGTTTTTTGTTCCCCCCGCATGAGGTGTTGATGGCCCTGGGGCCCGACACCACGCGGGCCCCAGAGGCGGCAACCGAGGGACAGCTCGCCCGGGCTGCACCAAAAAAGCATAGATTCTCGGAGGCAGTTGTTCGGCGGTTGGCCTTTCTATTTTGGTAAGGCTTCTGGCGTCACCAGAGCTTGGAACCCACTGCCCCGCTGTCGCGAGGCAAAATTGTACAGCAGGGGGCAACAGAGGGCACGGTGCTTCCACAGTTCCGGGGAAATCGCGAAATCGGTATAAGGGTCGTGATCGGCATGCCTCGAAGGACTCGCGCCCACCCGAGGCCCGACAGAAAACCTGGTCTTCGCGCAATTCGGAACTCGCCTCCGCGCCTTCTCTCGGCCCAGCGCTGCTTGAAGTGGTGGCGGAGGGGGGTGGGGAGGAAGGGACAAATGCCATGCAGGTACAGTGATGATAATCGTGCTGCTCGCCTTGTAGGATCATTGAAGGAGTCCTACATGAACTTAGCTGCTCTGATACGTTTTGAAAGGTAACACGTGCCGTGTTGAAAACGTCCGTGTTCAAAACGTACGTGTTCAGTCTACGTGTTGAGCTCCGTATCAATACGCTACGTGTTGCGTGTCGCGTATTGGGGCAGCTGAGGTGCACGTTGGGTCCAGTCCCGGTTCCAGCGCCGTCATCCCATCCGTCCCAAGTGGTTCGTGAACGGCTCGATGTGGTTGGGATCGGCCTGTATCTCGTGGGGGGGGGAGGGGGGGCAAACGCCGTGCGAGTCAACTTGCAAGGGTCGCATTATGAACGCGCTCCCGACCCGCCACTCTGATTTTTTTAATCCTCGGCCCCAGAGGTCCCGACCCGCTCCCCAGGAGTGGTGTCCCGTTCTGGACCAATGCTGGCGGGTCCCGGGCCCGACAACGGGCTCCAGAGGCCGAGATCAAGGAGAGCCGCTCCATTGAGCAAATCATACCCTCAGAGATCTGGGACACTTGCCAGAGTTAGAGGAAAGAGAACTATGCACATACACCGATTCTGGCCAGGCCCATCCTGAGCCCAGGATCGGTGCATACGCCCTCTTACCTTGGCCAGGAAGGTATATGCACCGATCCTGGGTCAAGGATGGACGTTGTCAGGATCGGTGCATGTGCACAGTTCTCTTCGCCCGAAGAGTCGAATCACGAACGCGCTGCCCAGAGCTGGGTCGTTTTGGCGGCGGCGGCCTGCCGGCCAGCCGGTGGGCGGCGCCCCGCTAGAAGGACGTCAGCAACGTCCTGTGGGCCACCGGGCGCCTGCGCTTCCGCCACGACGGGCTGCTGCAGGCCTGTGGAGGGGGACGGCACCGCGCCGCCCTTCCCAGCCTCCCGAGGGTGTGCCGTTTTTGACTCGACTGCACGTAAGAGTGACCCTTCGCCGGAGTGACCTTTTGTGCGCGCTCACTGGGGTCCCCCGATCGCCGCGCTCGTTGCGATAGTAGCGTCTTGCGCGCTTGTGTTTGGCCCCCCTGCGCCCCCCAAGAAGCCGCGCACCAAAGGTCACTCTTGCCCAGGATCACTCTCACCTGCAGCCGATTGACGCCGACGTGTTGTCCTCGAGTTCAGCCTCTGGGGCCCGTTGCTGGGCCTGGGGGCAATCCGAAAGTGATGCTTGACGGAGCGCCACCCTCGGGGGAGGGGGGTCGGGGCCCCGGGGGCCGCGGATTTTTCAAGGAACATGTCGGAGCATGCCCGGGGCAGAGCCAAGACGTTGAAATATGGGCCGCCTTGGGCTCGGGTTAGGCCGGGCCTGTCCCCCTACAGGCGGATCTTGGGCGAAACATTGTAAGATTTCAAAACATGCCCCAAAATATTTTGGAAAATGCTGAAAATTGAATCCCCATCTTATTTGTTTGACTATTTTGGAATTTTCCTCCTGTAGGTGGACACGCCCGACTCAAGACTCGGGAGGGGCCACAATTTCAGGGACGTTCTTCAGATGTGTGTCGGGGAACCCAGTCGTGGATGGGCTCGCCGTGGCGAGAGGAGCCCGTCCGTTACTTTTTCAGCGCCCCTTATAGTTCGACTGGGGGATCGACTACAGAATTGATTTACCCCAAAATTGACTTTCACGTCGACTCTTCACCAACAAAAACGTCAACCAGTTGTAGATCTGCGAAAGTTCTACGAATATTCCGTGGATCCGACCAGAAAAAAGAATTCTGGGGCAAATCGATTCTGTAGTCGACCCCCTACTTGCATAGTAGATCACGATGGCTGCAGATGGTCTTACAAACGCTGAGGGCCTTTTTGCTCCCGCTTTCAGGGTCAGCGTTTTCTGTTTCGTTTTGGGCGCCGTTTGTCTTGTGTTTCCAGGTCCGGGATCGGCCCGGGGCCCACCTGCTCGTTCTTCTTGCCGCTTTCAGTGCCTTTTTTCGTACGCTTGTCGGAATCACAGTGTGGCCTGCCAGGCGTCGACGTTCCAGCGTGTCGTTTTTAGATCGTATTGGTCGAGTCAAGAGCGAAGAGTGGATCACAGTGAACAGAAACGCCCGCAGCGCTTCCAAGCCCAACTGAGACGCCGCCCTCTCCCGCGGCCTCGGTCGGTGCCTGGGGCCTGGGGGGTGGCGCCGTGGGCGGGCTCGGCCCTCTTCCCTCGGACATGCTCGCGCCGCGGGACATCACGACGGGCTGCGCGCCCAGGGCGCCTCCTTGCTTGTTGTCCCCCCCCCTCTTCCCCCCAGGCGCCCTCCGTCATCGAGTCCGTCGTCCGTCGCTCGTCCGTCGGTCGCGTCGTCTCTCGGCTCTCTGCCACTGCGCTCGCGAAGCACGCGCGTGCCCTTGCCGGAGCGGTGCTGCGGGAAAGGAAGGACCCACTAGTTTCGGACAGGCTGCCGCGAAGCCGAAGCCGCTGTTCGTCCAGGGGAGCCCTAGCCCCCATGGCTGAATTCCTCAAATCCTGGTCAGAACGCACCCCAGGCAAATGTCTGGGGAGCAGCGGACAAGGATCACAACCCCCCCGCGTTGTGAAGAAAAACACGACGGGCGGCTTTGGGCCGTTTTCGGCCTTCGGGGGCCCTCGCCAGGCCCCGGGACCGTCAAGGACGGGCTCGGGGATAAAAAACGCAGCCTTCGGGAAGGGGTCTGAACGCAGGTCACCCGCGGGGGCGCGGAGATAGTCCTAAGTCGGGCATGTCCCTCTGCAGGAGGAATCTTCAAATATGGCCAAAACATAGTCTGGAGACGATTGTTCCATCATTTGTTGAATATTGCTGGGCATTCGTGGACTATTTCTTATCAGTCGTCCAAAATCCGCTTGTAGGAGGACATGCCCGACCTAAATATAGTCTTACGTCTTACGTCGGGCGTGTCCCCCTACAAGGGGAGCTTCGACGAAAAATAAAAAAAAAATGTTCCAAAAATGGTCCCAAAATAGTCTGGGGACGATTTTCTGATAGTTTTTGGACCAAGCCATCGTCCAAAATCCACTTGTGGGAGGACGTGCCCGACCCAAAGATCGTCGCGCGTCGCTCGCCGCGGCCTGGGCCAGATGGGCTCCGTTCTCCCGGGCGGCCGCGCGGGGGTGCGAAGAGGGCCGCGCGTCGCGCACCTGCGGGGCGCACTGCGGACGCGCGCTGCGCGACGTTGGGTCCCGGGGGGGCCGCCAGAGGCCGAGGCTCGGTATCGTTTTTACCCGATCCCCCCGTAGTCCCATCCCCCATGCCCTCGGAGACCCCCGCCAGATGACCCCCCCAGTTGGGGATACACCCTGCGAGACCCGAGGGGAGTGACCTGTATCCCCATCTGGGGGGGCAAATCGGCCAGTGGGGCCCAGGCCACGCCGCTGGGGATGGGGATCGGTTGAACGATACTCAGAGACATCGGACGTAGCCGTGTTGGCTCAAGTTCCAGGTTCGAGCAAGCCCAAGCTTAGCCAGCGACTAGTCTCCAGCGAGTGCAGCAGGAGGGCAGCATCGATCCCCCCTATTACTCCAGTCAGTGCGCTCCAACAGAGACCGCTCTGGGCCCACAGGGGGAGGAGGAGGAGCAGAAGGAGGAGGCCGCTCCTTAGTCCAGGTCGGGGAGCCTATTCGTGGCGGAGGCTCGCCGTGGTCAGGTAAAAGCTCCTTCGTTCCTTGCCTGGAGTTCCCTGTGGCAGCGCGTCGGCTGCATCGCTGGTATCGTTGGGAGGCGGCCCGGGTCTGAGTCCGCAGCGTTCCACGTGGCAGACAGGCTCCTGCCTCCCTCCCCTCCTCCACCCACCTACTTGTCTTTCTCCTTCCCCGCCTCCTCCTCCTCCCTGGGCCTCCTTCCTCCTCATCCTCTTCATCCTCCCCCTCCTCATCCTCCATATGCTCCTCCACTGGTGGGGATCCCAGAGAATCGGCCAGTATGGCGGGATGATGCCAACTCCGTTCAAGATCGGTCCCAGGAACCCCACCAGGGCTTCGTTTGGTGCAATGCTTCACCCCAGATCCGCTCTCCAAGGGCCTTGGGCACGAAAGCGGCCCCCGGGGGCTGGAAACGGCAAGCAGTTGCCCCAAACCCAGAGCTTCGAGCTTGCCCGCCCTTCTTGCTCGCTGGAACCAGTGCTGGGCCACCTCTGACCCCCAACCGACTCCAAAGGAGAAAAGTATGCATCGTTGCTATCGTTGTGATCGTTGTCGCTGTTATCGCTGTCTTCGCTTTTCGAAGACCGCCACACGTTGCCGCCTCTGCAAACATCCGCGCCGGACATCGGCCAGCATCCAGGGCCGCGGAGGGGGCGCTTCCTTCCGCGGGGCTCAAGCCCCGGCGGCGGATTTGGGTCCCAATTCTTTGGCGTTGTGCAGTGGGGGGGGAAGAAAATAGAACTAACAAAGATCTCGACGGTGGTGTTATTTTGAATTATCAGAGTGAGGGGACCGAACGGTCATTCATTGTCCCTGGGAGCGTGGCTAAAGTGGGGATCCGAGGTGAGGATTATGCTTGTTGCGCTGTGTTTGTTGCTGTTGTGTTGTTGTTGTTGTTGTTGTTGGTGGTGGTGGTGGTGTTGTTGTTGTTTTTGTTGTTGTTGTTGTTGTTATTGTTGTTTCTTGTTGTTGTTTCCTGTTGTTGTTGTTGTTGTTGTTGTTGGTGTTGTTGGTGTTGTTGTTGTTGTTGTTGTTGTTGTTGAACATTATTTATTCTAAAGAATAATTATTGTTGGGCCCCCTGGTGCGCGCCCCCCCTGCGCCGCCTAGGCCGCAGCTACATTTTCATCATTTTCGTGAGGAAGCCTCAGAAAAGAGGGTGTGTACAGGATCCGGTTGTTTTGTTGTAATCCGCTTTCCCTTGCAAAAAACAATAGAAAATGACATTTCTTGTTCTAATATAATCAAATTTCAAGAATCCCTTGCAAAAAATAAGGTAAAGTGGACATTCGCGCGCGCAAGACGAAATCCTTCCAAAACCTTAGTGTTCGCAGCGATTTTAACATAAAAACATCAAAAAACCAATGGTTTTTCAACAAAAAATTCAAAATCTCATCCCGCGCGCTCTTGCGGATTTCTGAGGAAACCCAATATTTTTTCAACATTTCTGTCAAACGGGCTCTTGCGAGCAACTTTTTCACGAACTTCTGCAACAACGGTTGCGCACCTGCCAGGGCCATCATCCCTGTCAAATAATACCATGCGGGACACATTCGTTTTTTCTTCGCGCGCGCACGCCGTCGTCGTCGGCCGCGGGGCCCTGAATAGTAGCCACGGTCGTCCGCATGCCACGAAGTGAAGTGTCCGAACGTCATAGGGCGGGAAGCTGGGTGTGGGTGGTGGCGAAGAGTCGTTTGGAAATTTGGTAGAGCTTGAACCGGCCCCCCCACAAAGTGGGGGTATTGCCCGCCTCCTATGAAAACCCTGGCACTGGTGAGAACGGAGTGTCCCCAGTCTTAAATGATTGTTGAACATTATTAATTCTAAAGAATAATTATTGTTGGGACCCCTGGTGCACGGCCCCCCTGCGCCGCCTAGGCCGCAGCTACATTTTCATCATTTTCGTGAGGAAGCCTCAGGTAATTCGATGTGATCAAGATCCGGTTGTTTTGTTGTAATCCGCTTTCCCTTGCAAAAAACACTATAAAATGACATTTCTTGTTCTAATATAATCAAATTTCAAGAATCCCTTGCAAAAAATAAGGTAAAGTGGACATTCGCGCGCGCAAGACGAAATCCTTCCAAAAGCTTAGTGTTCGGAGCGATTTTAACATAAAAACATCAAAAAACCAATGGTTTTTCAACAAAAAAATGTCAAAATCTCATCCCGCGCGCTCTTGCGGATTCGTAGGAAACCCAACACTTTTTAAACATTTCTGTCAAACGGGCTTTTGC